ATCACAGGACTTGAGAAGAGAAGCAGGATGCATTTTGGCAATTTCAATGGATGTCCAAGATTTTGGTGGGGAGCAGCCCAACTTTCTCAAGCAAGAATAAGTGACATGGCAGCATGTTTTAGAAGCAGAAACTTTTAAATTCTTACTTTTCAAACACTCATTAAGCTGCTTAGACAAAATTTGCTTGAAATACATTTTTTACAAGACTTATCAGTGATTTGGAAGGAGGAGGATGAAATCATGGAACGTGACAAGGGACATCCCACTCTCGCACTCTCAGAAGTTTTATATGCTGAAGAGACTGATGAAGAGAGACTGCAGTGGTGGAACGGAGGAGAGGTTGGAGATGAGGGCCACCAGAGAGGTGACTTTATCTCTTCATTTGGACACATTCTTTTAGCATTTTTGAATTCTTAAATTCTTTAGAATTTTTTTTTTTGCTACCGTGACCGGGTTGCTTTAATGCTACAACAAACAAAGACATTTTGGACAATTGTGCACTTCCACCCTAGAGTCAACAGTTTGGAGAAGACCTTTTTCTGTTCCAGCATGACTGTGCCCCTGTGCACCATAAAACACGTGGTTTGATGAGTTTTAGTGTGGAGGAACTCGAGTGGACTGTACACAGTCCTGACCTCAACCTTACCAAATGCATTTTAGGTGAATGGGAATGCCGACTGCAGAGCCAGGTCTACTTGAGTGATTGGTGCCCAACCTATTTTCTGCCATACCATAGATCATAGACCAGATACTAAAAACAAAATTTCTAAACCTATAAGCCACCCAGGGGTCACCTACCACCACTCAGGGGTAAGAGGTGCTACACAACCATGTGGTATTGGTTTGACAATCACGTTTTTTACAGAGATAGAGCTTTTTTGTGATATTTAATAACCACTGGTTGTTTTTTTTTTTTATACTATAAAAAATGGGGAAAAGACCATAAAAGTTGAAACAAAATTCCACCACTTCCCCAACCCCCCCCCCCCCCCCCAAAAAAAAAAACAACAAAGTAGAAATCCCAAGGTGCTTTCATTTTTTTGGAAATGAAGAAACATGCCAGTATTGAGGGGTTTGAAACCTTTTGCTTATATATAGATAACTCCATATTTTCTGACAGTGGCTGTGCTTCATGGCTCTTTCTCACAATAGAATTCTATAGACATGGCTGACTCAATGGGCCCACTTTACTAAAAGAAATATCACATTGATGGGCCTTCAAACTAAGCATGAAAACCCAAGCATATTCTAATAGTGTTTACTTTGCACTTGCTTACAAATGTGGTTTGCTAAAATAGTACCTGCTTCAGCTGCTGAATGTAAGCTGCAATCACAATAGAATTTTCCACAATTTGGGGGGGATATCTTATACTAGCTGGTCAGTTACCAATTTGCTTTTCATGTAGGAACAGTATATTATCAAAGGATATCTAAACCCAAGAACAAAAATGTAATGTTCTCATTTTACTACCTTCTTACGGTATATGAATGGAGAGGGTTCTTTTAAGCAACCCACCCACTACCATTATAAACACATTAAAAGGTACAGAGGGAAGCTCTTATAGAAGAAAAATTCCTACCAAGGATCACACCTTTATCCTTCAACTATTACAAGGTTCAAGGTGAGATTTAATACATGTATAGGTAAAAATAGCCTTTGGTACAGTAATGCTAATAAACTAACACTTGGGTTTAAAATCAAGCACCCAGGAGCCTCCATGTAGACTCGTCTTTATTTCGGAGCATCCCAAGATTCCTGAAACCCTGGGTACTCCATTATGCAAAATCTGACCAGAGCCTAATTTGTCTGGCCATTGGTCCACCAATGTAATGGCCAGGCTCACTAACCAATAGAAAGGCTTGGGGGGAGGTTGTCCAGAGATTGACCTTACAGTATTTGTAAATTTAAATTAACGTGTGCTAGTGGTGTCATTTATTTGGTGGTATAGAGACAATATTGTAAAAAGGTTTACTGCCAGCTGTCTTTAGGATGCATGGCATGAAAAACAGTTAATGTCAGTCACACAAGTAAACTTGGCCAGTGATGAACCAGTAGCAGACAACCTTGCAATGAGGGAGTTTAAAGCATTTGCCCATTTTCCAATATTTCTCAGGGACCACAGCAGTGAGATCTCTGAATTTATCTTCAAACACCTTCATTTCCAGTCTGTCTGCCTAAATACAATGATATCATCCATCCTTACCTAATTGGCCATGTAGCACCCTGCTAGCGTAGGTTGCTAGGTAAATTTAGCTTTGTCTCCTTCTGTAATCAAGGAAGCAGTACATGTGTGTTCTGGTCTGTTCAGGGTCTCATGGGTTGGGAGTTTTGATTGCTTCACCTTGCCTCTAGAAGACATTTCAAAGCTTAGGGTAGAAGCCTATTCCTGGACTGGAAGTGCCCAGTAGGGGGTTTGAATGTGGATAAATGGTTCCAGACACTGGAGAGCAGGGTTCCTTCTCCCCAGGAGGGTTGCAGAGGTTGCTGCTGCCCAGCAGCCCATTAGCTGAACAACCTCTCAAGGACGCTATAAAGGTGCTAGGATCCAAGGCTCAAGTGGACTTTTGCTCAGAGCTGACTACAGAACCATGCCACGAGGGATCCAGTCCTAAGAGGCACCATCTCACTTACTGGGTTGTGTCCAGGGAAAGATGTAAGGAGATACCTGTCCTGGGGATTTGTGAGTAGTAACTTTAAGCTGATCCCTGAGACTGTGTGCTGGATTCTACGCTGGGTAACGATGGTTGCACACTGACTCACAGTAACCAGATGCCCAAAATTTGCCACGTGGTCTTCAGCTGCGGAGCTTTAGACTGTTCTCAACCAATACCACTATTTACAGGAAGGACTGTCCTCTAAATACTACTGCTTTTGATGTTTTGAAGTATCCCATACCAAGTTCCTCTCCCTTCCCTTTGAGGTACTGCAAGCAATAAACTATAAAAAGACATCTCGTAGACCACAGGTGTCAAACTGGTGGCCCTCCAGCTGTTGCCAAACTACAAGTCCCATGAGACATTGCAAAATTGACAGTTACAAGCATGACCCCCCCAAAGGCAGAGGCATGATGGGACTTGTAGTTTCGCAACAGATGGAGGGCCACCAGTTTGACACCCCCGTCCTAGACTGTTTACAGGAGCCAGTATGCATAGACTGTTGCTGGGGTGGACAGGCAGCCTCTGTACTTCTTAGGGAAGAACCGGTTAAAATCAGCTTCTACCATCAAATAAAAAAAATACAATCAATTGGGAAAGCTGAAATGAAGGAAAGTTGATTTTTACACATTTTTTTTTACAGTCACTATCTATGGATAGCTAGATAGATAGATGTGACATAATAAAGAGAGCAATAGGGAGCGTACAACAACCTCTATACATGGGTATTGTGAGATGGGATAGCAAAGGGAATGATATGAGTGGCTTTAATCCAAAAACACTTAGCCTTGACCTCCTCAAAATTTAATCCTAACCCTCACCTCAATTAAGAAATGTAACCATCAAAAATTATCTTGACCCTTACACTTATCCAAGTCTGACTAACCTAAACCAGTAAGCTAATAAAACCTGTAACCTCTTAAAAGACATTATAAAAAAAATTACTTTAACAGCACCAAAAATGTCCTGCACCAAGTCCCTTCAATGACAGCAATGAGACTGCTCAGCAACAAGATCTCATCAATATTATCTGATGATAGGATTGTTTATTAATTCTAGTTGACAGAAAATGCATTGGGGAAAGTAAGACTTCAAAATAGCGGTTGGCAGAACCAAGATTTCCAGACAGATCTCACTGATGGAATTTCTAAAACACATAAGGAACCAATGGATGATTCAACACATCAGTGGCTGAATGTAACTGAAATATAATTTTTTGGTGGACTGGCACTTGCAGTAGCTTTTATCTTCTGCTTGCAACAAGGTTCTTCTCATCACATCAGTGGGAAGCTAGCAAGGTTGGCAATACCACAGGCATTTTTCTTGTCTCTTGCCAGCAGTGCAAAGCCTTTTCTTCCCCATTGTGTTCCCCAGCTGGAAGAAAACACATGAAAATGTGAATGTGTATACAACCTTACTGAACACCAGCATATTATGCAAGTTTTCACAGATACTCAGCAAAAAAAAATCTGCATAAGATGGGAGATCCTATCACGATCCCTTATCCTGATACATCAAGAAGGTTGGCTCTTGGAAGGACCTGTGCAAATATCAAAATACCTTGATGGATGGATGCCAGTCTGGGCATTTCTATGGGGACTGGAATTGAATGCATTTGATGCTGAGCCTCCATGATTTAACTGAAATCCAATGAATAAAAGGGGAGGTGAGGCTAAGGAGTATAGAGCTAGAAGATTCTAGATGTCCAGCCAGGGAATGATGCAAGCTGTATCTAGGCTTGGGACCCCACTGTGTGAAACAGCTCTAGGTCAGCTTTGTTTCTGCACCACATCTATGGGCTGGGCTTTTTGGCCGAATTTGGGGCAATGTTTGTTACCAGACCGTAAATCCTAAGCATTGTGCACTTACCGGCAGTTTTTTCCTTTTATTAATTCACTCTTCACCTTTTGTCACTGCACTGTATATGTGTCTTTTCCTTTTATTCACGGATAGTAGGGTGTGGATCTTCGAGTCTAAAGGGAGGTTGTGTGGCCATCAGGTTCCTTCCCTACCTTGGCGGTCCTCTCTACGGGAGAGCACCCCACCTAGTAGTTGGTGGTCGGCTTCAGCTGATCATTAGGAGCAGGGTCCATGGGACTTTATGGCTAGGTAGATCTGAGTATGCCTTGCCCCCATCAGATGTTCCGGGGGCCTGTGAGGGGTTCTTCCTCTTCGTAAGAGGACAAAAGACACACCCGAGTGCCCTTTTATGGTTCACTTTGGTGTTTTCATTTTACTTACAGCACCGCTGGCTGGAAAAACAAAAATGGCGCAGGCTCTATCTGACTTACAGTTTCTAATGAACCACGTGAGTGTGCAGGAAAATCAAAGCATTTTCAATACAGGAGATGAGCCTGAACAATTGTGCAAGACTGAAGGGAGGGCTAGAGCAGGGGCGGACTGACCATTTGGAAACTCGGGCTCTGCCCAAGGGCCCGGGGTCAGTAGGGAACCCCATGAGATGCCCCTGGTACCTTTTTCATAGGCTTTTTTGAGTTTGGGCAAGGACACAGGGGCCCCATGATCCCCTATTGCCCAGGGGCCCCATGAGTTCTCAGTCCGCCCCTGGTATGGACTCATTTAGATGAACATAACTATTTCACAACATAAACCGTGAAATCTTGCTGGCAGTAAGATCCTGCATTCCTAGTTATCCATATAGCTACAGGGACTGTATCTGGACTGCAGATGGAGGTCTGTATTGGGAAGGGTGTCTGTCCTGAGAAGTCTGTACTGGAGGGAGGTCTGTACTGAGGGTCTGTACTGGGAGGGTGTTGGTGTCATCCTTCAGGTAAATTTTCCTTTTTGGTGATATGGGAAGGTGATATTGTGTCAAGATGAGTATATTATCTGAAGGAAAGCATGTATAGATTTGAGTGAGGAGATGGAAATTTTGAGAGGAGGACAGAAGAGAAATTGGTGAGAAAAAAGCTTTTTAGGCTCAAACTTTAAATCAAATTACAGCTGTGCTTCCATAAAAAACAGGAGTAAAAAGGAGAAGTAGAAAAGATCTACCAACCTATTCTTGACGATCCAGTGCTTTGTCCCCTTCAGATTTCCATAGCCAACAGCCAAGATTGCATGATTGATCCCCTCAGGGTCACAGTTTTTGTCATAATAAACTCCTGCAGAGATAACACACAAGTTACTGTAGGTAAAACAGAAGAAGAACCTCCATTCTACCTCAAAGGAAAGCTAACAGCAATTTTCCTTTTTTTTTTAAACTGGCTGAAAATGATTACTTCACTTTGCATGTGGTTAGCATTTTGCCCTGCTTCCATTTATCTGGCAAAGAAGCCATGGTTCATGAAGTATATGACCTACACTAAGGACTCAGATTTCACTTTACTGAAGTCAGATCAGTTAAAGATGGTATCTAATTGATTGATTAATTGATGTAATTTACTGCACTTTGTGGGTGGTTTGCTGTTTTGGGGCACTGAGGAAGCTCGTTTTGAGGGTGAAACTTTTATTACTGGAAAAAAGTTTTTAAAAAATGTGTGCAAGTATATTCCTGACCTGTTACCCATCCATAACACTAAGCCTCACCCTACCAGCTAGAGAGACAAGTCCTCTTCTTTTGAAACAGATACTCGAATTCCTGTGCACCTCCACCTGTCACTCCATTGGAGTCAGTTCTCCAAATCCAACTGAAACTGTGTCGAATGGTATTGGAGCTTACAGAGGATTAGTGTCTTCTTTCTTTGCTCCAGGCTTGTTGACTGGCCATTGAGGCCCAAGCACTGTATCCTGGAAGGGCACATGCTCCCCTATACCTGGATGTATGAAGCATTCCCATATGGAAGAAAAATATATTTCAAATATATTTTAAAAATATTCTTCTCAAATATGTTGTCATATATTTGAAATGCTACAATTTTGACCGTATTCAATATATTTAAAAAAAAAAAAAAGAAAAAAAAAAAATATATATATATATATATATATATATATATATACTGTATGTTGAAATGCGTTTTTATTACAAAATATATGAAAAATATTTTTAAAAATACATTTCAAATATACTGTATGTCCTTAAAAATACAAATCTACAATTTTGGAATGCTTTTACAAATATATGTAAAAATATATGTTAAAATGACTTTTTTTATATGTTACAAAAATCTGAAGAATGTATTTTAAAAAAATATTTTTTTAAACATTTTTTTTAAAACATATTCTTCAGATTCCTATCCCTTACCAGTGGATGGATTGACCCTCTTCCATCTGTAATTGCCAGATGACCCAGATTTTGTAAGATACTCCTGAAATGGTCATAGGTGTAAAAGTGTTTTGTACAGATTCAGCAGTGTTTCATTCAGCGGCAAAATTGGCAGGAATATTGGCTCTCCATTCACCTCTATGGCTTAGCTAGTAATCACTGAAAGAGACTGACTTGAATCAGAGTACAGCCCAGTGCTGTAGCACCATCTACTCTTGAGATTAATTTACTTGCTGCAACTTTTAGCAGCAATAAATTTCTGCTAAAAAAATCACCTGTGTGACATCAGCCTTTAAATACAGCCATTTATTAAAGTGGCACTATGTGCATTATGTTCCACTTTGACATAGAGTATGTGGTCCCCAAAGTGTGCACCCCTTGTGGCTCATGTATTTATATTCTTAAGGTCCATTTTTCTCACCTTTATTGTAGAACTGAAAAGAGGGTTGACTAGCATCGATACTGATTGACACAGGACCAACCTGTGCTACCGCTCTTTTCAGGGCCTTCTCATCACCTCTAGGGATCTCTTTGAAACCCTTGCAACCAGCAGCTCTTCCAGATGGCTTGTAGAGACAGCCTTCATCCTGGTACAAAAACAATTAAGACACCAGTAAACCTCAAAGCAATATCTATAATAGCTAGAATCATATATGTAAAGGTGGATCATTGTGTCCTGACCAGGGGCGGACTGGCCATTTGGAAACTCAGGCACTGCCCGAGGGCCCGGGGTCAGTAGGGGGCCCCATGAGATGCCCCTGGTACCTTTTTCATAGGCTTTTTTGAGTTTGGGCAAGGACACATGGGCCGCATGATCCCCTATTGCCCGGGGGCCCCATGAGTTGTCAGTCTGCCCCTGGTCCTGACAGTAACAGTTTAGTGGTGTTAGATATTGGTACAAGACTGTATGGTTACACACCTGATAACTACATAGAACGAAGGGAAATCTCTACAATGGGTCCAGAAAAAGAATCTGACAGATTTGTAATTATTCCCTAATCTCACCAAAACAAGTTTTGGCCTCGATCTATCTTAAAAGATAGTTGTGTTGTTAGATTTCAGGTTGATGGGTAACTTTACAGCAGAATTTCTCTCCCCAAAGGGAATTTAAGTCCTTGCCTCCAATCCCCCAATATACATGTTGGGTTTTTTAGCTCTTTCTATTTTTTTTTTAAATCCCTATTTCCACAGCCTTCTGGGAAATCTCAGTCACATATCTGAGGAGCCTCCCAGAGCAAGTACATGGACCAGATGGTGGCATTGGAGATGCATCTTCAGGTGTAAGCTATCTGATCTATCTGAAGAGACAGCCAGCTCCTGATGATTGAAGAGCCAAAGATCGTGGCTACGGAAACTGAACTGCGGAACACTGCAGCATAACACTGGATTCACTGGATGGGTGAGTATGTTTTTGTTTTGGCTAAAAAAGGGGAAGGATTAATATCCAATCAGTTTTATCACCATCTGTGTGCTGTTGGGTAGATTTCACTTCACATCCTGTCCTGTAGGCACAATAGAAAATGAGAGAAAATCTCTCCAAAGTGCGGGAAAATCCCCTCCATCTCTTTATTTATTGCAATCAACTGATATATCTTCCAGGACTTCAATGGAAGCATGATTAAATACAATATTATTTATTTCCTACATTTATATACCATAGAGTGCATGGGCAAAGCAGGGGATTTCCTTAATTTGGAACTGGATCAGGCTCTGGACACTCAAATATTTATATAGTCTCAACAAACAGAAACAATCTTAAAGACAAACTTAACCCCTTCACGCCGGATCGTCCCGGCATGAAGAGGAGTTCCGGTGCCAGGAGGTGGGCGGAACGAGGCGGGGCTTAGTGTCATGTGGCCACCGTGACGTCATCGGGAAAGGTCCCGATTGAAAGAGCGGACTGGGACCTTTCCGTGAGTACCGCACATGTGTGCTGGGAGCGCACAGGTTGCGCGCTCTCAGCACATATGTTTTTTGTTAAATGAACGCAAATGTGCGGCCGCTCGGCGTCTAGGCCCAGACGCCAGGCGGCCGCACATTTGTGTGCGGCTGGCGTGAAGGGGTTAGACAAACTTTTACTGACCTCTGTAGCTGCAGGCACCATGGAGCAATTCATCCTCAAATTTCATAGCTGAAAGCCCTTTTTTAAATTTCTGCTCATTTAGTTTCTTCTCCCAACAGTGACATGCCAGTCCACCAGCCTTTTTACCTCTAAACGTCTAGTAAAAATCACTTAAATGATTTTACTGCTTTTCCTGTGAACGTGGAGGAAAAAATACTCCACAATAGACGCAGTTACCAGAGGTCAGTGTGGGCTTGTTTAAAAGCCTGTTTACTGCCAGCCACAATTCTACTTTAAGGGTGCCTTCTTCATACCAACCCTGTTGCAGTAAGAGGTGCATTACTGCAATGCCAAAATTTTGAGTGGCACCCCAATGCTTTGTTACAAAGCTGCTTTGTATTACCGTTTGTTAAAAAAAACATGCAGCAAGACCTATTTTCTGTGCGATAAAGTACATTGCAGCCCAATCACTTTGAATGGGCTAACGCAGAGAGCTGCAAAGTGTCTTAATGTATGAAATGTGAGTGGGCCATAGGCCAAGTATTATTGAATCAAGTATATGGCCAGCATACCTGCCGACAAGTAGAGTAACACAGGTTACTACTATTGCGTACATTACATACTTTGTAGCAAAATACTCTTTAAAAAAATTGGTAAAGGTAATATTCTTTATTCAGATTATAATGGAGCTTTTACAGTACACTATCTATCTGGACTTGCACAAAGCAAAGAAATGGGTAAAAACCCTCCCAAATGACATAAACCATAGATCAAACATACCTGTCCGATATAGGGATAAATCGCATCCGAGTCTATTCCATTGTTATCCCTTACATAGCCAAAAGCATTGGTCATGTATCCACCCTGACAGCCATAGTTATCTGCATCACAGTCCACAAGGTTCTGGGGACTGAGGGAGACCAGGTCTCCGGTCTTCTTCATGAGCTGGCCCTCCAAAGCTCCTACAGAGCTAAATGCCCAACATGAACCACAGGCACCCTGGCAGGAAAAAAGAGGTTGAAGTCAGGATTAATATTTGTGTCGTTGATTTATATATCAGTGTAATCTCCTGATGCACCAAGTAAAAGTGGTGGATAGTAAATAAAAATACATAAAGTGCCCACGGGAGATTCCCAGATGGGTTCACCTGTTG